ACTACAGTCAGTGATCTGATTGACGGTAAGAAATCTCCTAAGAGGTCGCCGACAAAGAGAATGACGCTATCACAAAAGTTTATCAATGACAAATATGGAAACAGAAAGTTATGGTTGGACGATGTTAATGAGAGAAACATGAAAAATAACATTTACGAAGCGGAAAATAGGAAAAAAATAATAGATCAAATAAATACTGCGAAAAGGGAATTTTTGGAGAGAAATGAGGACCAAGAAAATTTAATTAAGGCTAAATTTTAACTTGATTGTATTGAAAGACTTAATTAGATTAACAAAACTGCCTTATAGAGCACAATAGTTAGTCGTGCAATATGTAGTGAAGAAAATTAGGTTACTAAGATTTGTTATCGATTTAACCGTTTCTAAGGAAAGTCCAAACAGAATTTTATCAATAAAATCAGTGTCGTTGTTACGCTCCTGTGTGCTGACTGCTGTGTTTGTATAATTAGCTTGAACAATAAATATGTCTAAATTAGATGATATATTTGATAAAAAGAAAGATGAAGCACCTATGTTGGATTTGTCTAAAACTGTGATAAACACTGCGGAGGAATATAGAGCCGTGTTAGACAAAGTGCCGGACTTCAAAACAAGACCCGAGAAGGTAGTACATACATACGCCTTCAAATTAAAACCTAATTAACACACGTTAAACTATCTGTTAATTGTTATAATAGGTTCGAGCTGAAGACATTAAAATCAAAGATAAAGTTGATGATCAAAAAACAAAAACGCCAAAAAAAGAGATACGAGCCTACGAGAAACTAGGCACGCGTGGTTACGAAGAGAAGCAATTCACATTCATGGATCCAATACCGTCTGAAATGCGTGGACTGAAATTTGAAGAATTATGTGCTGTCCAAATAGAATGGAGAATGCTAACTTCCATCAGGCCTAAATTAAAGCTTGACGAAGAATATTTTAATAGGTAGGTACGAACATATTTCCCTGTACATGGTTTGTAAACTGGACTACGAATTTAATTAATTAATTGTAATTGTTTCAGATTAATCGAACTAGGCAAAGCTGAATTAAAAACAAGAGCAAGAGATAAAAGAGAACTAGCAAAAAACAATATGATAAGAAGAACCAAAAATCGTTCGGGCGTGACGGAGACGAGGATCGTCACTTGTTCCGAATGTGGCGAAGAGTATTGCAACGGTACGCATTTGCATATTGATAGAAGAAACACATTAACATTTGCGAGTACTCTTAAATACCTGTCTTAATACTACACTGATAAATTTACATCGTTTTAAATGTATAAAATCAAATCAAGTTAACATAAAATTATCGTAATTAATTTACTCGGGTAGGCTTTATGGGTAGGCTCTTCCTTAGGGCCAGTTTTTTGATTCATAGTTAAAATAACAATTTGTTAAATTTTGCTACTAATGGTTAAATATTAACAAAATGTTAACTAATAGTTAAAAAACGTACTAAAAGTCAAGCTAACCATTGTTCGAAAAACATTTTTTTCTGATATTTAATCACTTGTCATTTGACATCTGTCAAAGTTGACCATTGGTTATTTTAACTACGAATCAAAAAACCGGGCCTTAATTTTTTCAACTTCGAATCCAGGTAAAATGTGCGTGATCACCAACTACGACATGTTCGCGCGTCTCAAAGTGGAGGTGGAGGCGAAGTCGACGAAGCAAGCGGCGCCGGCGGCGGGCGGCAAGTCCCGCCGCGTCAAGAAGCGCGGGCGCCGCAAGCCGCGCAGCAAAAGCGCTGCGTCCGCTGCACGCAGCAGTAGCCGCAACAAGTCGGGAGCCAAAAGCGACTCCGAACTGTAGACATGGGTACTTGACCACAGCCCATTGACACACTTTTTACGAGCTGTCATTTGTGTTGCAATTCGAGTTAAGACGTTACATATTTGGAATTGTTGGATAATTATTAAGACCTTGAGCCCATAAACCAATAATATTCTCAACTTCTCGAAAACATCATTCTAGCTCTGAAAATCCACATACTTTTCAAACATGAGAGATTTTATTGCAAGTTACAACCAACAAATACCTAAGTACTAAAATTAGCGAAAAAATAACACAACTTGATTGCGCGTTTTGAGAGCTCATAAAAAGAATGTCAATCGATTACATTAATGCGTCAACTGCCCACTTTCAATAGGGATACTATGCATTTTAAAATCCTTTGCATTTTATAGTTACAGATAGCGATTAACGGAAAGTAAAAGTTAAAAATTTTGTGAGCATTAATTTAAAATTACCCAGTAACTACGCATCCACAATACAAACTGAGCAAACAATATCTAATTAATACTCTAGTAAAAAGAAGCAAATCCAGCATATTATAAGACACGCGTTTAATACATTCCATTCTTTATCTGAGCTTGTTGTACTTACATACGTTTTATTAATTAAACATATTTGCACAGCACGTAACATAATTATGGGTCATTCCACAAAAATATGTCAACTCTTAGTCCGCGCCACATTTCACATGAAATATTTGTTAATATTATATTCCAAAATTGTTAAATAACAGCTCGCAATGTGCTTTATTCATCACCAATTTATATTTTTTGAAACTGTTTTTAAAACATCTTAAATTCCTTTTGAATGACCCAAAACGTCATTCCCTAGGCATGTCCGTACTCCAAAAGTTTGTGTTTTGGGACCCACATTTATAAAAACATCAACTTTATCCTGTGTTTTAATTACCGAATAATCTATTTAAATGTATATTACACCAAATTCTATTAATATTTTGCGGTTTCAATAAACAATAATTTGATTTTCTTTAGTTGAAAAAGAGTCTACAGTTTTTAGCGTCATTCCCTCGCCACGCACTGATTTTATAATTTTGCGCTTTAATATGTACTTAGAGTGAATGACATTTAGTTGAGTTTAAAGTACGATACGAAGTTATCCTCAGACCATACTGGCTTTGCGGTAGCAGTTTTTTTAATTAGTGCAAATGTGCCAGATGTTACCGAAACATGTGTTAATCCAGTCACTTCGTCAGTCCCTAGTTGAGTAGCTTTATTGATTATAATAGGAAATTGTTTATAATTTAATAGTATTTACGTGTAGTTTTTTGGCTATTTTCGGCACATCGTATTAAGCATCTTTTAATATAAAGTTAATCTGCATTTGTGTTAAGTTTTACTCCAAATCGTCAGTCCCTAGAGCGTCAGGCCCTAGCTTTAAACGGCACTTGGGACTAAATTACTAGTTAGGGAATGATGTTTTTTATATAGTGATAATAACAAAACAACTACATTATGTGTATTAACTTATCTATAAATGTTAAGGTTAAAAGTTTTATACTTTATTAGAAGTCATATAGGATAATGTAGTATGAAAAAATTGAAAATTATAATTTCTCCTAAAATAAAGCATAAAGTGACTGGCCCTTTTAGACATAACATAATTAATTAATAAACAATAATTTACACTAATAAAGTATTCATAAACATCTTAAAAAAGTTACGGACAAAATGACGTCGAAAATATACAGATTTTTATGGAATGACCCTTATAACAAAAGTAAAGAAAGGCTAATATGACGTACCTACTAAAAATGCGTGTAGAATTTGGTTTGTTATACTATGAAATCAATATAGAATAATTTTAAATATGATCGCATTACAATAAAATAACTATCGTAATTATGTAGAATTTTAGTCTAAAAATATTTATTTATTATTAGACGCGAAATTTGTTTTTGTAAAGATTTTATTGAACATACTTTCTTGAGATATTTACTGGCACGAACGTAAAAGTTAGTACGATAAGTTAATTGCACCATTTTTTAAAATATAGCCGCAATTTAACATTACAAAACGCACCTATTATAATTGCAGCAAGCAATGTTAATAAAATAAATGCTCATTATCGGTATCTTGCCAAATTTTCCATATACGAGTATGTAATGACCTCACAGTATTGTAGAAATGGAGCGGTGATATTATTTTGCAAACTATGTATGTACTTAAATAATAGACCTATTCCTAGAAAAGACACATTCTAGGAATCATTTAAATAAATTTACAGTTTTGGAAATGTGTTCTAGAAAGTGTTTCAAGGAATAATGCCTATTTTCACCATCAATTCCTAATTTTTAAGTGACCCCTATTTTGACACAGTACAGGCATTTGGTATTCAAAGGTGTCACTTAAAAATTAGGGATTGATGGTGAAAACGGCCATAAGTCACACAATTAAAACCCAGCTAAATTGTAGTCAATCGATAGCCTTACAAATTGGCTTACTTAATGATTACCATCACGGCTATTTTACTATTAATAACTACCTACCTAATGTAATTAAATATAAGAAAAAACAAAGCAATATTAACCTACATTAATGCGTGAAAGTTCGTAGAGCACAATAGCATAATTATATGTATAATATCCTCGAAACTATGAATTTATATTTTATAATGCGTAAATTAGGTGTACTAGAATGTAGATTTGTTATAGTACCTAAATACTTTTAATTTTAACCGCATATACATTGTGTGCCTTATTGTAAGTAGAATTATCAAAGTGACCCCTTCACTTCTGACTGACGAGTGCGATCAGCAGCTTACATCACCAATGCAATGCCTGCCCTAGTCATTACGTTTTGTATTAAAATCTTGTATACTGAATCTCAAGTTTTGTAAGAAGATTTGATAAAATTATACAATTAAATTATATTTCAATGCATAATACCAATGTAGCTCTTTCATTTCAAACTCAAACGCACGCACGCTCAATAAAAATCCGAACGTAAATAAACAAAAGGCGCTGATAAGCGGGTAAGTAAGTAGTGGGAACCTTATAGTGGATATTTTACAAAAATCAAATCCCAATATCAATTATCACTCTTTATTGATTTTAAAAAAATATTTATAATATACATTCATTATTTTAGAGCCTATAAAACAATAAAATTCTCAAGATACATGTCTCTATGCGTTGGCAATATCCCACCCGTGTGGCGCGGGCCAATCTACTAATTCTAGTAACAATATGAAGCCAAAAATATTTTTACATTTAGTTAGTTAGTACCTATTTATTGATATACGAATTTAATTCACCTCTTAGCGTCACTAAAAGATAATCATTTAAAAATCTTTAGGCCCTAAGTACTGTTTCAAACTAAAATACAGGATACTGCAGGGAACGCAATAAAATAGTAAATAATAAATATTTATATCTCTTAGAATTTAGCGATAACAACAAAACGTAACTATGAAATCCCTAGGGAATATTATGAATTTAAGGAAATGGAAATAATGAAACAACTCTCCCACAGCAAAAATAACAAATATCACAAGATATTATTATGAATGGTTATAATAAATAAAAAAATGAATAGTTATTAGATAGTAATAACAAGAACTAAGATCTTACATAGAGATAGTGGAAGGAGGTTCTATCGACACACATACCACTTAGCTGCATCCGTAGCTCTGCCATTTATGTACCGTGAAGGCATCTATAGGTATGAGATAGTTATTCAAATACAAACGTCTAGAACTCTCAAATATTATTATTGTTAGCGCAAGCTAAACAAAATTTGCTATAGAACTATGACGCATCGTGAATGCCGCGGATCATGAGGTTTCGTGAAGTCAGCGATGTGTGTATGAAGCCCAAAAACTGTTACAACAACAGTTTTATGCACAACTTTGTATGGCTGATTTTATTAATACAAAAATAAAAATAACAGTTTTAATGAAATATTGCACAGCCGATGATTAAATATAATTTGTATTGGATCCTCTCTTTCAATTTTAAAAATCAAATTTGTTTAATGTAGAAGCTCTCAATCTTAACCTATCATTCATTACATAATAAATTAATTATACGCATTCAGAGACATTTCGAATTTTAGTTGGTTTTATACAGAATGATGTCGGTACTATTCTAAACCTTTTATTACTTATTCTTAAAACTAGGTATACAAAATAGGAATCTGCAATAAAATATTAACGCTCTTGCTTGCATCTCAAATATCAATGTCGATAATTTGAAGAATATAGATTATACATACACATACTATCACCCAAGGAACCAAGATATGTTTGTGTGGAAAAAGAACTAAACAACTGTGTCTGGACGGAGGGAGTCCATATCACTAATCCAGTGAGAAGTAATTGCAATCATTTGCTACAACACAGCAAGGATATAGTATGAACCTGTGTACAAACCATTACTTTTTTTAATAAAAATAAGGGTAGTAATGATGACACTCCATAAATATTGGTCCAATTTCAGGTCACATCACATTTTTTGTCATGGGTCAATAAGTTTATTTCAAAAACAAATCTATTCTTCAGTTTTGTACATGTAAAAATGAGCAAACCAATAGGAATAAATAGAATATCATAGATGGAATATGTTGAATGAGATAAAGGAGAAAGGAAATGCACACTTATGGAATGGAAGGAGACTTACTACTATAAGCACCAGAAGATCATGATTAATAATATGGGTTAAGTTCTAACTAGGAGCAAAATGTCTACAAGGTACAGATATACATAAAATAAAACTTAACTATTATTAATCCCATGAATATTGCTCCTCTATTCATATAATAACAAAGTTTACCACTTAAAACATATTGCAGATTCCCAAAAGGTCACTAATCGTTCTTCGAACACATTACAAAATTATGACTCATATAATGCATACTAAAAACAAAACTTATTATGCTTTAATGTAAACAATAATTAAATTATAAAGAAAAAAAACACGTCAACATTAGCTAGATACAAAATAAAATATGAAACTAAAAAACATGGACGTAAATTGACTGAATGTGTAAGAACAGTAAGGAAATAACATAGATATGCACACCCTGTAAAATTACAACCCTGAAATTAAATTAATAATTGTCAATTTAATCTTTGAATAAGTTTTGTCACAATATTTTTTTTAATTTTTATGTGGTAATTTTATCAGCGGTGTGATTGGCATTGAGCTAGAACAGGGCATAGCGCCCGAGTAAACCCTGTTTCCACCACTCACCCCTCACTGGTCCTTGCGTGCCTTTTTCTTGCTCTTTTTGGATGTCTTAGAAGCATCGATCCAAGTGTCTGTAAAAGGATGAATAAGTGTGAGTAAAAATATATTATACAAGTTGCAAGTTAAGGTTCCAAACAACTAAGTATTTATTTACCTCCGAGCTCATCAAACACGGGCACATTTTGCTTGTCATCTTGTTTGTCCGATGATTCAGTGTTGTCAGGCTCAGGCTTTGGTGCATTCTTTGCAATGGCAGCATTCTGCAACAAAAAAAACAATTAATTTTAGTATTGACTAGCGGCCGCCCGCGACTTCGTACGCGTGGATCCCGTTTTACCCCCTTCATCTTACGCGGCTTAGATTTTTTCATACAAATGTTTTTTCCCGCTAACTCCCGTTCCCGTGGGAATTTTGCAATATCCTGTTGTAACTAAGCTTTACGTTTACTAAGGTACCTTCATGTCAAATTTCAAGCGTCTAACTTAAGAGGTTTAGATTTTTCATACAAAAGGATTTTCCCGCTAATTCCCGTTCCCGTGGGAATTCCTAAGTATACTATAACCTGCCCAGGAGTATGAAGAATAATTGTACCAAGTTTCGTTAAAATCCGTCAAGTAGTTTTTGTTTCTATAAGGAACAGACAGACAGACAGACAGACAGACAGACAGACGGACAGACAGACAGACAAAAATTTTACTGATTGCATTTTTGGCATCAGTATCGATCACTAATCACCCCCTGATAGTTATTTTGAAAATATATTTCATGTACAGAATTGACCTCTCTACAGATTTATTATAAGTATAGATAGATGATGGCAATCAATAAATGGTTTACATTCATCATATTATTATTTGACTGCCAACTGCCATTAAACACTAATGAATTTGTAATACCTAGTATTTACATTTGAAAAGACATCTGATCAAAGAGTTTCAATTACCTCAGTAGCCTTCTTCTTAATCTGCTTCTCCTTGTTTTCCTTCTTCTTGTTGCTCCTCAGATCCTTGACATCTTGAATTTCCTCAACTTCAGGTTCATTTTCATCATCTCCACCACCAAGAGCGGCCTGCTCACGGCGTTCAGCCTGGGAATTATAGTAGTTTGAGTAAAATATCACAACACATCACAGGATATAATAAAACAAAATAAGATTTTAGATTTAACATGACAAAGTTAAATCATTCACATAACATTTCTCATAGTCCTTTTATAAAAATAGTTAAAAATCTGCATACCTCCTTCAAGACGCGTTGGAATTCTTCCACTTGGGCTTGCAGAGCACGGGCAGCATCTTCGTCCACCTCAGGGCCAACAGCACTGATGACTTTGATGGTCTCTTCCGCGGGCTCCTCGGAGGAACGCGCTGCTTCCACGTCAGCATCCTTCACCACCTTCTTGTTCTTCTTGGCCGGGCTCTCCTTCAAAATCAAAAATCAAAATCAAAAATATTTATTCAGTTTAGACCACAAGTGGCACTTATGAACGTCAATCATCATCATCATGTCAGCCATAGGACGTCCACTGCTGAACATAGGCCTCCCCTAATGCTTTCCACATTGATCGATTGGTAGCGGCCTGCATCCAGCGCTTCCCTGCTACCTTCACGATGTCGTCGGTCCACCTTGTAGGTGGACGTCCCACGCTGCGCCTTCCGGATGAACGTCAATAGAAAATAATAAAAAAAGAAAAGGTAGCCCTTATGGGGCACTTTACATGATTGTCCTTCTTCTTTTCCTCGGGGCTCTTCACCTTCTTCTTCTCCTTCTTCGGCACCTCCTCCCACACCCCCTCATCAAAGTCCGCCGGCTTCTCGAGCTCCACAGGTTGCTTCCTCCCTTTGCCTTTCTTAGCATCGTCCTTGGACGCCTTCTTCACAGGTTTAGGCTCCTGCCTCTCCTTGGGCTTAGGTTTCTCCGCTTCTTTCACTTTCTCCTTGGTGGGAGATTTCTTAGTGCTCTCAGACTTGGCCTTCGCATCCTCATTCGAAGAACGGTTGGGAGAAGACTTCTGTAATCATTAGAAGTTATACAAGAAATGTTAACTTGTGTTATATTGAAATGTATGAAAAGTAAATGCCAGAATGTTTAATTAATGAAAGAACTTTATAACCAGGTTCTGTTATGATTGTCACCTGCTCGCTGCCCACTACGACTCCCGGCAGCTACGAGCATATGCTCGCTAACAGGTTAAAAATAAAATGAGCACAACGACCACTATGTCGGGCGCGAATACTGTGTTGTTTTCACTGACCTTGTCCTTGGTTTTTCTCTTCTTGTTTGATGATTTCCTATCGTCTACAACTAGGGGCAGCTTATCAAACTGTGGCTGTTCCGCGGAGTGGAATCCGAAGACAAATACTAGAGCTGCGCATACTAAAACAACAGCTACTGCCGCAACGGGGAAAAGAAACTGGGTATTAGACACTTGCGTCAACAGTTCCATCTTAGACAACTATTAATATATACTCTAAAATTAATAGTTCACATATGAAGGTGCCGATAAGGTTTGATAATGTTCAACAAATTTAATTCCCCAATGATAAAAGCAGACACGGAGACATGATGACGCGGCTGTGACGTGCCAAAAAATTGCGATTAGTTGGGGGCTGTGTGACCATTTTACGACAAAATAATGTTATGATTATTAAATTTAATTCATTACACTTAATTATCATTTTAGCATTAATTATTCCATTTTAAAAATACAGAACATTTCAATAATATTTTTTGGTCCCCGTGAAAAATCTGAGAAAACCGGTACAAAAAATATCAGCCGTGCAGACGTACCGGTTATGAATGAATGAGCCTCATTTTGGTTGCGTCCACCCTGTGCGTCCACCAAATTAAAAACAACAAAGTCAAAAATTTGACATCACATGTGAGATAACCTCAAATTTAATTATTTATTTATGAGTAAATCATGGGGGGTAATAACAAGAAAAAGATAAAAGGCAATAAAAAACGTAAAATGAAAAAAGGAAAACCACATAATCAGTTGCACGGATCAGCAGGTGATGACAACGAAGTTTTGGATGAATCTAATACAGTACCACCAAGTGATGATCAAGCTGAGTTTGACCTGAAACCCCAAAAACGGCAACATTCAGATGATGACTCGGAGTGTGAAAATGAACCCAAGAGAAAAAAGAAGAAGAAGAAGCAAATTCAACAGAATGATAATTCAACTGACAAGAAGAATAAGAAGTCTATTCGTCAGATGAAAAAAGAGAAGCATGCTCAGCGACAAGCTGAAATGGAAGCTGCGTCCAAAGAACAGCTGAAGTCCCAGTGCTTAAGTTACCTCTCACAATGGAAACACAATAGATCCAACTGGAAATTTATGAAGGCAAAACAAGTATGGCTTTACAAAAATAAATTTTCACAAAAGCTTATTCCAAATGAATCATGGCCTTTACTAATGGAATACTTTGAATCTGCCAAAGGAAATATAAGGAACATGTTATTAGATGATTCTAATAAAATCATTAAACAAATGGATGATTGGACAGAAGCACAGAATGACGAGAATGCTGATGAAAAAGAAAGTGAGACAGAAGAAACAGAAGATTCAAATAAACCTATCAAGCCAGATGATACAATTTATAAAAGAGCTAGGGATTTAATACAATGTCTACAAGAATAAGGCATTTGTTTTATTTCAATTTATTATGTTCAACTAATTTGGTAACAACAATAATTTAAGAAGTACATGTGCACTGTTGATGGATCTTAAGCTTTGACTTCTGCCTTAGATTCCTCGGAAGTGAATTGTTCAATCCATTTGCGCAGTTTGTCAGTGTCTTGCAGACCCACCAGGCGTTGCTGCACTTTCCCATCTTTGATGGCGACTAATACAGGGACAGAACTGACTTCATAATCTAATGCCAAGTCTGTCTGCTCATCAATGTCCACTTTAGCCAGGATTACTTTTCCTTTGCTTTCTGAGATGATGGATTCCAGACGAGGAGTCAGCAGCCTACATGGATTGCACCACCTGAAATAAGACATTTAAAAAAACAAGATTATTGCCTGAGGGTCTATCTTATCATAGTAATTTATTATTGACAATAAAAAGTATTAGGATCAGTGATAAAAATGATGTAACAACAAGATAAATAGAATAACCTCTGTACCCAATTTGAATACAGAGACAATTAATTATACCCAATTAAAAACAATTTCAAAGGTTGATTTAATGAAATAATTGATTTGAAAGTAGCTAAGAGACAAAAATAATATAATAATTTGACAAATAATTTTTAACATTTCAAGTGTATTTTTTATACTTAAAACAGCTAGCGATTTAATACTCACGTAGCGAAAAAATCTACAACTACTGGAACTTTGCTATTGATGACTTTTGCCTTAAAATCATCAGTGCTTTGAATTTTCACAATGTCGCATTTTGCAGAAGTCATTGAAAAGTTTCTAAGAATTTGTGCATTCTTTCCCGCAGCGAAGGAGCTACGAACCACCAAATTCGTGATATTTTTTACGAGCATTGTGAAAACAGCGTACGAAATTTAAAAATTACTTTAATTTTCTAGTAATTTCAAGTCTTAGATTCTTGCGAATTTGCGACTTGATTCACTTCAATTCACTTGATTCTTCTGCGGTCGTTCTGTCAAAAAATCAACTGTCTGTCAAAGTGACTATTCTTTTTAATTTATTCCAAATAAGTATAGTGTTGCATAACTTGCATGCATAGTATCGTATCGGTATCGTATTTGCTTTTAATTAGTAATGGCGCGTATAGTCTGAACCTACGACCTTCTCCAAAGTTATGCAGTTAACAGTGGCGGCGTAGCATAGGTTGGCACCCGGGNCCCCCCCCCGTCATAATATAAATTATAGCTTAAGGCACCCCAGAATGGCACCCCCCTGTCTTGACATCACGACCGTCCTTGCCATGCAGATGCGTCAGTGAGTACTAATCTGCGCGTATTTGTCACCCCCTGATGCTTGGCACCCGGGGCGGACCGCCCCCACCGCCCCCCCCTTACGCCGCTACTGCTTATTAACAAGTGCGAAACGAATATAGGAATGTTTGTGAGTCTCTATTACCTAGCTTCGTTGACTTAGTCCGCTAGAAACTTAGCGGCAAGAAGTCAAAAAGTAAAAACTAGCCAACTAGTCCTTACTCAAGTCATTCGTGAAAAACTTTTTGCCAGTTTTTAGGTTCATTCATAACCCAAATGTATCACCACAATTTTTTGTACGATTTCATTACGATTAAAAGACAACACTGATTTGTTCCTCAAAAATTCACGGGCCATAATATCACAGTTTTAGTCTTGTCTATGAATTCTTTCTCTTTCTATCTGTTTGTCTACTTTCACGAATAATTAAAAAAAAAAGAAAATTTTTAGTCTGTGGGTCGGTCTTTGGCAGAAAGTCCTCGCGTGTGCATTCTTGCTGTTTATTTGGTTAATGCGAAATTCACATGACAAAATAATATTAAAATAAAGAAAATGTATTCCAGTGATGATTACAACGAGGTATGACGTAAAAGATTCCTATAGAATATGTTTAACTTGGTGTCATATAACCTAGAATGTTTCATCGAAAACGTAAGCAATTCGTTCAATTTCATACAATAATCGGGATGTTTCATTTTAGGGAGGCTATGAGTCCTTTGGGGACTACGAACCGCATACTGGGGACCCACAGTATGACTTGGAATATGATAGGTCATACTATAAAATGCCTGAGATGGTGAGTAATATTTCTCTAACCTGTTTTATTTTCCTGCTATACTCTTGTTCCTTTAAGCTTTCTGAACATCGAACTAAATCTCAGCATATTGGTTGCATATTAAATTGTTGTTTCATTACCTATATGGAAGGCTTAATATTATGTAAAATTTATAAAATTTGAGAATAATATCATAGGCAATTTTACAACCAGTTAGAATGGCAGATAGCTATTGTAGAAAGTACTGTATTAAAATAACTAAAGCCTCGATAGAAATTAAAGAATCAGTAGAAATAAACAAAAACATTTTGTTTTTAAGTGTTTACCTAAACCTGTGTAATATCACCTTTTATGCCTTATTTTCAGGTGAAAAAGTTCTTGGTGTATTTCCGCAATATGATAAATGAAGGTGTAACTTATGAGATCCTAAATCTCTATGAAAACACTTTCCCAAAACTAACAGAACAGTATTTTGAGAACACTCCTTGGCCAGAGGAAAATGAAGTGGCACCTGTTGTTGATAATGATCATGTAAGTAGCATTATTTTTAAGAACCCAAGAAGATATATTAAGTTGATAATATTATGTATGTTTATAATAAAACTAGACTGCATTCTTCTCTACTGTGCCTAAAATATGTAATCCAATCCAGGTGACTTAAATAAATCTAAAAGATCAGTAATTAGTAGGACATTGATTTGATTCTATAACTATTACTTTTTAGGTTTTCATGATCCTGTACAAAGAGCTGTACTATCGCGATATCTACGCGCGTGTCCCAGGAGGACCAAAACCTGAACAACGATTCACTTCATTTTACAATTACTGTGACTTGTTCAACTATATTTTGTCTGCCGAAACCCCGGTTCCCTTAGAGTTGCCTGACCAATGGCTTTGGGAACTCATTGATGAGTTTGTCTACCAGTTTCAATCTTTTGCCCAATATAGGTATGTATCTTCGTTTTTTTATGCATTTCTCATACACACAAGTTCCAATAAGAGATGCTCTGTTTGTATTTTGCATACAATGTTATGATTAATTATGTACTAGAAATCACTTGGTCGGAAGAAACTACAAAATCCTCTGCATGCAAGTATAAACCCTCATAATTATGTTACAGGTCACGCACCTCTAAGTTGAGCCCTGCTGAGATCGAGGCTCTTAATACTGAGAACAAGGCATGGAATGTTCTCTGCATACTGAATGTTCTGCATTCCCTTGTGGACAAGTCCAACATCAAGCGCCAACTTGAGGTAAATAATGGCTATATTTAAATAATTGCAGGCAAATTCTGTTCATTTAGACCACCTTCACATTAGGGCAGCAGCTGGGCGTCTTGTCGCGCGACGGTTGCGCTGCTAAAGTCGCCTAAATGTGAAAGCACTCTTAGTCTCCACTCTCCACTAGACCCTCTTCAATTTATCAGAGCTAAGTGGAGGATTTGGCCTGCAATGCGGAGGGCTCTGAGCTTTCTTCCTTAACTATCTAGCAGCTAGATCAGTCTTTCCCAAAGTGGGCGATAACGCCCCCTTGTGGGCGCTGCAGGCTTAAAGGGGGGCGGTAAGAGACCCAGAAAAAAAATCGGGACGTTGTGTAGAGGCTTGGGAGGCGTCATCTACTAACGCCCGATTCCCATATTCAATCCTTGTCCAAATCCGGATTACAACTGTCAAATTGAATTCAGTTCTAGATTATATTTCCAAAATTTTCGATGCATTTACACTTTAATATTGTTTAAATAGTCTTATAAACAATATAAAAATGTAAAAACATCAAAAACCGCAGTTATTTTGGCCAAAAACATATTAAAATTTGACAGTTGACAATCCAAATCCGTATAATTTGGATTAGGATTGAATATAGAAATCCAGCATAGGAGGACTCTTAGACACCGACTGAGCTCGACTCTTGACTACAAAAATGGGGGGCGCTAAAAAAATAATTTATTCTCAAAGTGGGCAGTAGACTAAATAAGTTTGGGAACCACTGAGCTAGATGTTAACAAATGTGTCTGTAATCAGGTTTACACTGCCGGCGGTGACCCCGACTCCGTGGCGGGCGAGTTCGGCCGCCACACCCTCTACAAGATGCTGGGATACTTCTCGCTGGTGGGGCTCCTGCGGCTGCACTCGCTGCTTGGAGACTACTACCAGGCGATTAAGGTTTGTATTCAAGACAAAGATAGATAAAGTATAGAAATAAATATTTTTTCATCTACTAAAGCCTGGTCCGTGAGCACGTAGAATCCCGTCCAATGACCCCAAGCTACCCATCCCTATCGCCCGCGCGTAATTATGTTGCTGTCGCGACTGTTCGACGGGCGCCCGCAGTGAGTGTGCGTGCTAGATTAAACTAGATTACTCGAGGCAAAAGCTAGCCTGTGGCTTTCCGTCTATCACAGAAAAACTTTATCGCGCACGTGACCTTGTTTAAAAAGCTGGTATAAAAACTATACTATTTTTTTCCTTGAACCTTGACCTCTATTCCTTTCATCAAAATCAGAAGTATTTTTGCATAGTTTTTAAGAGTTACGAAAGTTCCATGTATCTTTTATATCTATTTATAAGATACTAGCTTTCCGCCCGTGACTTAGCGCGCGTGGACTACATTATCTACATATTTTACGGAACCCTATTATTTCCAAATTAAAATTTAGCCTATGTTACTCGTGGATAATTTAGCTTTCGAATGGTGACAGAATTTTTAAAAACTGTCCAGTAGTTTTTGAGCCTATTCATTACAACCAAACAAACAAAGTTTTCCTCTTTATAATATTAGTGTAGAAGTAACACAGTTGAACATCACTTCAGGTGCTGGAAAACATCGAGCTGCACAAGAAGTCGACCTACTCCCACGTGCCCGCGTGCCAGGTCTCCACCTCTTACTACGTGGGCTTCGCGTACATGATGATGCGGCGCTACGCCGACGCCATCCGCACGCTGTCAACCGCGCTGCTGTATGTGCAGCGCACTAAGCAGCTGTTCTCTGCTCGCTCTTACCAGAACGACCAGATCAATAAGCAGACGGAGCAGATGTATAATCTGCTGGCTATCTGCCTGGTGCTGCATCCGCAGTGTGTTGACGAGTCCATTCAGCAGGTGAGCATAAGGTTTTATTTACAAGCATTGTGTCTTCATTTGATTGACTTCTTCACTAAGAATTGTGCTTTCATTGCAGCTTCTAATTATCTTAACAACTGTATACAGACAGCATAGTGTAACAAAATTCACATCAATAGTTTCCAAGTGAAATCATAAAAATTCTTTTGAAACCTTCAAATGTTACTTAAATATTGATTGCATAAAATAAATATTTTCTTGTAACATCTTTAATACGATCTTATATGCTTATTTTGTTGTTAGAAAATGTTAAGGCCTTTGTCCAGCCACGGACGTAACTTGGTTCAAGCAACATTTAGCTAACAACACAATAATTTTCCAGGTGCTCCGTGAGAAGAACTACCACGAGAAGATGTTCAAGATGCAGTACGGCGACCTGGGCGAGTTCGAGAGCTGCTTCACCTTCGCCTGCCCCAAGTTCCTGGCGCCCTGCCCGCCGCCTGTCGAGCCCGGCTCCAATTACGGCCGCGACGCCGTCAAGCACCAGACGCAGGTCTTCATGGACGAGGTAATTCAGTTCGTTCGCTTCAGCCAAATGATGTCCACTGCTGGACAAAGGGCCAGACCCATTGTGAGAAATTTTTAGGGGCCCCAAGGATTTCCACAACGACCGGTCCTGCGCCGCCCGCATCCAGGCAGTTTTCAGTGCCTAACTGACTTTATAAAGTCTAGTTTGGTTATCCTCTACCACGCCAGCATCTCAGGACGATGTTCCTGGGGCTTTGTCGAGCCTAGTTCTAACTACGGCCGCGACGCCGTCAAGCACCAGACGCAAGTCTTCATGGACGAGGTACTTTTCAGTTCGTTCGTTTCAGCCAAATGATGTCCACTGATGGACAAAGGGCCAAACCCATTGTGAGAAATCTTTGGGGGCCTCAGGGATTTCCACAACGACCGGTCCACGCCAGCATCCTAGGACGATGTTTCTGCGGCTTTGTCGAGCCTAGTTCTAACTACGGCCGCGACGCCGTCAAACACCAGACGCAAGTCTTAATGGATGAGGTCATTAACAACACTTTAATTAACCAACTTTAAGAGCCTACAAAGACTGCATTGAAGACGAATTACGCACATTACACCAAATACCTATGTCATCATCATCATCATAATTTCAGCCATAGGATGTCCACTGCTGAACATAGGCCTCCCCCAATGACTTCCACATCGCACGGTTGGTAGCTGCCTGCATCCAGCGCCTTCCTGCTACCTTTGTCAGAGGCCTTATACAGAAGCTCAAAGTTGCACAGCGTGCTATGGAGAGTGCTATGCTCGGTGTTTCTTTACGAGATTGATTCATAAATGAGGAGATCCGTAAACGAACTAAAGTCGCTGACATAACCTGACGGATTAGCAAGCTGAAGTGGCAATGGGCAGGGCACATAGTACGCAGAACTGACGGCCGATGGGGCAGCAAGGTTCTGGAATGTCCACCCACAATACCTATGTATAACGAAGAAAAGATAAATTACGATAGATGACATACCATCTGTAATATTCGTCCTACTGCTACACACTTGAAAGTTGAAAGTTACAGCAATTACGTGTCCCAATTTAATTTCGGATTGTCTTCCTGCATCCTTGTCACTATAACAAAATAAATACCTATTACGTCCACAGGTCCGCCAGCAAAAGATGCTGCCGACCATCCGGTCTTACCTGAAGCTGTACACGACGCTCCCGCTGGCCAAGCTGGCGGCGTTCATGATGGCGGCGCGCGGCGGCGACCGCGACCGGGACGTGGCGCGCGAGCACGCCTCGCTGGCCATCCACCTGCTCTGCTTCAAGCACAAGATGAAGAACGTCGTCTGGACTAAAGGCCCCAGCGGCCTGGATGGAAAGTTCCAGAGCGGATCTGAGGTTCGGCCTGTTTGATATTTGATGTCGATAGGTAAACGGTGTGATGCTGACAGCATAGGACTGCCGATTCGAGCGTTGACATTCGCAGTCCGTTAGACTACCGAGTTGAACCCACTCCATACATGCTTATAAGTTTATGCAGAAGTTAACAGATACCTATTAGTAATGTAAATCAACGATTTGACATTGATGTTGCCTTCGCCATACAAACGCATTTGTCTGCATTTACACAAATTCAATTTGTAATGTTGTTTCAGTTGGACTTCTATATCGACAATGACATGATCCATATCGCCGACACGAAGGTGGCCCATCGCTACGGCGACTTCTTCATTCGGAAACTCTTGAAGTTTGAAGAACTCAACCGCAAACTTCACCACATCAAAATATAATCAGTCGCAAATATTTGTATAACACAGATAATGTAATAAAACTCAATAAATATTATAATGTTATTTTATTACAGTTTATACTGCACAAATTTTCGATTTCGTTTATAAAATCTTTTAGGCTCCTTTATTTCTACATTAGAACGCTGTACTGTCTCTGGATATGTTTCTTCAAACTGCTGCCATGGGTGTTCTGGTTTCAGATGTTCATAAACATTTACTTCCTTTAGCCAAGTTTTATAGACTTTCAAGAAGTTTTTAGAACCTCTCATAACTGCGTTTGCTGATGGAGTAGGAGTAGTTTGTGCCTAAAAAAAACAAAAAATTTACAGATGCATTTATAATTTTAAGTGAACAGAAATGTAATATTGTTCCATTGAATCTTAAATACTAACCTGAGCTATTCTCTTTGTACACCTATCAGATAATGTTTCCAAATGTTTTAAAAATGCTTCATTTACTTTAATATTCTCTTCTTTAACTTTTTCCATTATGTACAAAACATATTTAAAGTCCATATTCATAGCACCATTTTTTAATAGTGTTCCTAAGATTTCAATGTTTACCCTGCAACATAAAAATGAATATTGGTTAATTAAAAAGGCAGAATAACAATAATTTAAAGTTTAGTAGTGCCTGAAAAATAATTACATACTTCAATTTATTTTCATTCATTTCAGTTAATAACTTATCCGCACTTTCTTTTGTTCTGCAAGCTAGTGCTAATACACCATATGTCATTATATTGAATTTCAGTCTGAATTTCTTTTTCAGGGGATGTATCTTTTTGTTCCGAATTTTACATTCTTCTTCAACCAAGTCTTTGACAGCCTGAAAGATTAAATATTTTTTTAATCATTTGTTAGGTACTTATTTGTTTAAATATTTATGCAAGATGTGTTATTTTTCATACTTACAAATGCACCATCATAATCTGTTCTTAAACATCTCTTCTTTATAAGATTATTGTAGAAATCAATATCAGCTCTGATTCCTTGAGTTTTCATGGTTTCAAGTAAGTGATTTTCAGCTTCTGGTGTATTATCTATCAGTGGAAGCATTTGAGTAAATGTTTTGATATCTGGGTTGACTGAGTAGATTTGCATTTCCTTCAGAAAGTCATCTTGCCCACCCACAATGGCAAATTTATCTTGGACAGAGTGTACTTCTTGTAAAGACAGTACTTGCTGCATTTGCACAATTTTTGAAAGTAAATTAGGTACAGTTCTTCTGTCTTCCACTTGTGTATGTTTAGATAAATTATTTGTTATAGTAATATTAACAGAATCTCTATCATTATTTTTGTCACTTACAATAATCTCATTAGAATTTTCTACATTTTCACCTGGCAAAGATTGCAATATTTTATTATCATCACTGATATGGGGTTTTGCTTCTGAAGATTCAATTTGCATAACTTCAACATGCCTTGATCCAATTGCAATGTGTTCTCTGAGTAAACATACCAATTCTTCAATATCATTTTTGGAACCCAAGTTACAATCTTTGACACATCTTAGCATGAGATTGAATGAAAAAAGATTAGGTTTTTCTCTCATTCTCAACATTTTCCTCCAAACAACAAGGGCATGTCTTAAGCCAGACTCTTTGTCAGAAATACAAGCATGTAAAAGGTGGTTCAATGTGTGAACTCGGATTTTGATTTTTTTAGATATCATCTCATCAACAATTTGAAATGCTGTTGCAATATCTCCACATCTCCCAAATGCTTTGATCATTGCATTATAATTTGTTAAATTGGGCTCTATACCTTTTTCAATCATTAAAGATCTTAAATTTTTTGCATGCAATAATCCATCTTTAGCCCATGGACTATTGCTACATGCATGAAACAAACATGTGTAAGTATCACCTGTGGGTTTTAAAGCTCTCTTTTTCATGTCATTAAATAATTTAAATGCTTTTTTTGTGTAACCCACTTCAGCACAAGCACCAATTAATATATTGTAAATGTAATTTTCAGGTTTAACTCTATCCACAGTCAACATCCTTACTTCTAACACATTAATAGCCTCTTTGAGTCTTTTATGTGATAAATACTGCTTAATTAAATCTGCATACTGTTTAGTGGTTAACTTTTGGTTGGGCAATGGATTGTTTTGAATGTATTCATGTTCTTGGACGTCGCCGGGATCACTGAATTCATCTTCTCTAACTTTAACACTTTTTGTCAATGTTCCAAACTGGTCTGGATCATCCAAATACGTGAAGTTGTCTTCAGTTTTTATTTGATTAATTTTAATCGATTTAGGCTCAATATTTGTACTAATAGACGTTGATTTAAATATACAAGGGATTGAAGTCCTATTTCTAATAACTTGTAACAGCCTTAGACAACGATGAGCCATAACGATTGGTTAATATTGTTATCAGCCTCTTTTCAAATCACTAAGTATGTAGTTATTCCGTTCTGGATCAGGATACACAGTAAACACATAAATAAACTTTACTAAAAAAAGTTCCACATTCGTAACATAACCTAAAAATTTGCTTTCTGACATTGACAGTTGACATGAAATCACAGACAGACAGAGATGTATTTAAGTTTTTTTTTCGGAGTCGTATCGTATTGAACGAACAGTACGATACTGATACGACATACAACAATAAAAATATCCAACCTTTTATGTTTTATCAAAAAAACCCGCCCATTCCCATGGACATCTGACAAAACGTGACAAATTCACTGATATAGTTCCAAAATACTGAACTGTCCTATCATGAAGCTACAGATAAAAATGGAGGCCACACTCCGAATACCTACTTGAAGCACAAACTAAGTATCACTATCTCGCTCTCTGTGGGTAGACTCGCTCTTTCTAAATAAACAAAAAATATAAAATTGCTCAAATTCAATGAATCCAATGTAAAATCTTTATTTCTTGACATAGGTATCATTAAAAATGATAAGTATAATTACTGGTAAAACGTTTTAGGAAGAAATTACTGTAAAAAATGTGAAAAATGTTTACAATGATCCAATGTCGGAAATCACGAAATAAACACTTACGCGTGGAATCTTATGTCACTTCCAGGACACCACGTACTACCGCAACCACACACTACAAAATTTTGCACCAATTCTTGTGATAAAACAATGATTATTTCTTGTAAACAATCTCAAACGAAATTAACTGCTTAATAAACAAAATAGTAAACAACCGCCATGATGGGCCGGATTGGGCCGATGTTGCCACATGGTACCGATTACCCAGGAATTGGGATTGTAATTCCCTGATTCGATTCTGACACATTAAGCCTAAATGGCCGACAATTTTGTGATGTTTTATTTAACTAGGTAATCTTAGTTTCAAATATTAATTATTTATTTGTTTAACCCATTAACGCCCGCCGTACAATAAATAGTACACAACTTTAAGTTACGATAAATCTGGTTTAGTGAGTATTTTTACCCTGGAAATAATTACAATCGGTAAACAAAGGTCTATGCATTATATCCTGAGATGAAACAGACCATAATTATACAATCTTAAGGGGGTATTTTGCGATTTCGTTTCAGTGATTTTTTCATGTCTTCTAGTGGGTACTTGATAATTTTTTATGCAAGGTTTAAGTTACACAAAATACCAAATAAGTTGTTTGTGTATTAGCTAACAACATATCCTAATAAAAAATACATAGAAAAGTTCATTTCATGGAAAGTTTTTCATGCTATAACTCCCAAAGTGATGCTGTACAAACTTTAGTACAATGGGCGCTTGACACGTTACGTAAAATAGTACAGTAACGACATTATTATTAGAGTGTTTACTTATTTCTGCATAGTTTTTATATGTAATCTTTGTTTTCTTTTTCCAATAACATGGCTCTTTATTTATGGAGTTACAGACAACAAAAAGAAACATTTTGTTTTCCCAATTACGACCTATTTGTCGACCTAAAGAGACTTAGTTACATAGTTTTTTTAACCACACGTGAAAACAAAACCAAAAGGTATCCTTTGATTACTTATAAAGATTTTCACAAAAAGCCTAGAGACAGATTCGACAAGGAAAACGTCATTTTATTAGCATTGATTGAAAGATAATAATGTGGGTACCATTGAAACAAATGTTGACGCTTTAGAACCATTGGGAAAGGTCATTATATGGGGTCTCTTGATAAAAAAATGTAGAGTTATGCACCACAGGGTGTCCAGCTCTAGTATAATAAGGAGATCAGTGGATTAGATTAGATGACTAGTCTATAGATCTTTACCAAATTGAGGAAAAAGGAAAAAAAGCGGTGGATGGGTCTTGTTAGCTTATATGGTGGACATGACAATTTTAAATGCATGCAGACTGCACTGCATAGTAAACCCATATATTCGCTTAAATCAGCTAGCATTCCGCAAATATATAGTACGCATATATTTGACCTATAAAAGATAAATAAAAGTAGGTAGTCTTGCTCTAGTCGATGGAGAAGAAATATGAAATAATGGTTATAATCAAAATAAACCAGCAAACAAGCTGATTTGATAGCTTAAAATTACTGTGTGTTTCAATAGAGTCAAATCAGCTTATGGCAAGTGCCTGAAAACACTGTGCCAGGATGAAGAAGGCTTTGCTCAATATGACTCATAAGCGCCCATTGTACCAAACTTAGTACACCCCTGAAAACCCAACTTCTAATTTTGATTTTGGTTTTCTTTGTGTTTAGTATTATTTCTGAAATATTTTTATAAAGAAAATAAACATTGGCTATGGGAAATTGACCGCAGTTTTCATTTGGGCGTTAATGGGTTAACTTCTGATTTGGTTAGTGAATTGGCTATTTCGAAGAATTTACAAGGAGATTTAAATCAGAAGATAGCAATACTACAGTTCACACTAAAAATAGAGGTATGGCCGCAGAGAGCGAGATAGATATAAGTAGGTATTTGACTCAAGTTTTTGTTCCAACTCTGCCCTCCATTTTTATCTTTAGCTTCATGTGTCCTATGCCTATGCATGACATTGACAGTGGGGCGCCACCGTCAATACCGGATCGCTAGTTCCGATTTTTGTCATGTTGGAAACCATATAGTTGAACGATGGTAGCGCCACCCTGTCATTGAGTTTGGTGGGACAGTTCAGCGTGGGTCATCTCTATGTAAGTTAATGATCTTGAATGCCTTCTCTCTGGCGTTATTTTGGATCGATTTCGAAAACATCACGTTTTTGGGCTCCTATAAAGTGACAATCTATTTTTTTGATCAAATTATCAAATCTCTGGAAGTCTGGAACTTCATTAACCTGTGCTAAAAGGACTTCGTCCAAATCCGTGAAATTGTTTACTTTGTTTTGTCAATAAACTGTCAATGTCAAATTTACAAATTGACAATCAGTCGGTCCCACGTGTTTTTACTCACAGAAATCTGATTTTTACGCTATAAATCGCTAAATAATTGAACTAAATCATGTCTAACGATCTTGAAGAACAAATGGATGCGAGTTCTAGTGAAAGCGAAGATGATCAAATGGATGAAGGCGAGGAAGACAATGATGGACCGAAAACTTACTTGCCTGGACAACCACTAAAAGAAGACGAGCAACTGGTATGCGACCAATCGGCCTATGTGATGCTGCATCAAGCTCAGACCGGGGCTCCATGCCTCAGTTTTGACATAGTTACTGATAATTTAGGAAGTGACAGAGACCAGTTTCCTATGACCGCTTATATGGTCGCTGGAACACAGGCTTCCAGTGCTCACTTGAACAGGTAAATTCATTGAAATTATTCCGAAGTTTACAGTTTATATTCGTGTCGTGACAGTAGATACTTAATTGAAACTGTTTACAGCTTACTAGTTATCAAAATGACAAATTTACATCCCACATCTAAAGCAGAAGAAGATGAAGAGTCTGACAGTGATGAGGACGAAGATGAAGAAGAGGATGAGGAGAAAAAGCCACAAATGACATTTGCCTTCATCAAACACCAGGGATGTGTCAACAGAATAAGGGTTGGTTTATATGTTGCAGAAAATCTTGTAGCGCTACTGTTATTTTACCTGTATGTATTTACCTATTAAACTTATTTCTTTCAGGCAACAAATTTCAAAAATTCAACTTTAGCAGCTAGCTGGTCTGAACTTGGGCGTGTGGACATTTGGAATATAACACAGCAGTTGCAAGCAGTTGATGAACCAACACTCTTGGAGCGTTACAATCTAGATACAGTCACAAACCCTGTGAAACCACTGTTTTCATTTAGTGGTCATCAGCAAGAAGGTTTTGGTATAGATTGGTGCCCTACAGAACCTGGTGTAAGTGAAAACTTTTATATTTTTACTAGATAAAAGTTAATAAAATTAAGTTATAAAGGTTATTAATACTTATTCATTTTGCTTTCAGGTGTTAGCTACTGGTGATTGCCGAAGAGACATACACATATGGAAACCAAATCAAGCTGGTTCTTGGGATGTGGATCAGCGCCCACTTGTTGGCCACACAGGCTCCATAGAAGATATACAATGGTCACCTAATGAACGGTAAACATCTAAAATGCATTTTGATACGCATAAAGGTTGTCATGTCTCAGATTTATAATAACAAATAATTGTTTTGCAGAAATGTCTTATCATCATGTTCCGTTGATAAAACTATAAGGATATGGGACACAAGAGCAGCTCCTCACAAGGCTTGCATGCTGACTTGTATGAATGCTCATCAAAGCGATGTTAATGTTATATCTTGGAATTCTAAAGAACCATTCATTGCAAGTGGTATGTATAAAATTCATGTATGATTTACAGTATGATGCAAACAGATAGAACCAATAAAATTAATCAGTTTAATTCTTAGGTGGTGATGATGGTTTCCTACACATTTGGGATTTAAGACAGTTCAAAGACAGTACTCCTGTGGGAACATTCAAACACCATACAGCCCCTGTCACATCAGTGGAATGGCACTGGACAGAGCCTAGTGTTCTTGCTTCTTCCGGTGAAGATAACCAAGTGGCATTATGGGACTTGGCAGTTGAGAGAGATGATGATGAAGTTATTGATGAAGAACTAAAGGTACTTTCAATGTATAATTAACCTTATTTACTCATATAACTTAGGTGAAAATTAGACTACAATATCAAATATTTTAATTTCAGAACCTCCCACCACAACTGCTTTTCATCCATCAAGGACAAACTGACATAAAAGAATTGCATTGGCATAAGCAAATTCCAGGGGTAATAGTAACAACTGCACATACAGGATTCAATATATTTAAATCTATCAGTGTATAGTAATAATAAAATACAATTAACCTTCAAAAAATCTTGTTTATTTATACCAAAGCACTTACAAATCAAATAACAGACATGATTTTTGTATTGATTGAAATAATTTCAAAAATAAGTAATATAATTTATTCCTTATCTTGAGTTTGCACCATTCCCAGATTTACCAAATGCCTTATGGTAGGTCTTCCATGGGGGCAGTTCTGGAAAAAGCATAACATCATTGAATTGTAACTGCCTAGTAGGTTACAGTAGAGGTTTTACTGGATAATTAA